TTTTTTTATAGTAACGGTCATTTTATTTTGCAGTCGCAAACCGATAGAACATTGGACCAACAGTGCACAGTTAGCAGACCTGGTTTGTCGCAGATCGCTGCGGGATTAGCAGTCGAGCTATTGATAACTCTGCTGCAGCATCCTCTAGGGTAATAAAAACAAATAACAGAGGTTTATATTGAATTTCATGTAGTTACAGATTTATTGTTTTGTACTTGACAGAATTGAGGCAGAAGCGTTGGTGCGCAGAGATAATATTAGCCCAAGCGATACGGACTTGGTAGGCTTGTTGGGATGTGTACCACACACGATACGGGGATCCCTGTGGAATTACGATACTCACTTGACAATTACTCATAGATTTACATCGTGCACGGCCTGTTCTGTGCCTATTATCGCAGAATATAAAAATCGGGGTTTATCGTTTGTTCTGGACGCCTGTAACGTACCGAATTACTTGGAAAAATTATCAGGACTGGAGCAAATACTTAAAAGGCCCGATTTAGACGAGGTATATTCTAAATCTACAAATTGTGTTCAGCCATTTAATTTTTCAATTGTTTATTACATTTTTAATTACAGCTTTGTTACGCGTTGGATAATACAAGCGACGACGACGAGGATGATAAAAAAATATGATATCTTAATTGTACATAATTTTTCTTTTAATCAAATTTTGGCACGTGCAATAGGCTATTTATGATATTCATCTCCGTCTTTCACAATCGTATTATTTTAATTTTTTTCTTTTATTATAGTGTTGACACTTGGCATATGTAAATATATGTCAAAAAATCTTGTTGTAAAATACGTTTTATTACAAATATGACTTTTTATATATAGATTTTATGCCAATCTAAAAAAAAAAAAAGCATGCAAGAGGTTGCACCCCTCTGAATTTTTAAGCATTAAAATATGATGAATAAAATATTTAAATTTCCTGAAAGCTAAAAAAATAGAGACAGGTATTCTATTCAATATCCCCTAAGTACGTTGAAGAAACCATCTGGGTGGTGCAGTCACTCCTTAATAATCCTTCGTTTACAGGCCAATCTAACCCAAGCTCAACTCCAAAAAGAAATCTAAGAAGATTTTTCCTCTCAAAAATTTCGTGTACCAAGAGAGAAACTTGCATGAAATCTGAAGCATAATTATTGGAAAAGAAAAGTGGCGGTTCAAACCGTAATTTATACGATCGGTGTGGCGCGCGTTCGCGCTTTTGGCGATCTTCCCGCTAGAGAGCGCCTCGACGGACGAATACCAGACATTCCAGTGTAATGTTTAAGTAGTGGGGAATCGAGGCTGGCTCTCGTGTGTCAAAGAGCCTGTGTTCCCTGTGTGTTCGATCGCATACCATTAGATTTTCAATCGTTTTCAATGAAAATACATACCGTGCGTTGGCTCGACGCGCCAGCGGATGTCGTGCCGGATGTTTGATCCTCTGTTCGCTGGCTTGTCAACGCAGAAACATCGGTGAGTGAATCACGTAAATGGTGGGAAGAACCACCTTAAGTTCGATTTACCTCGAGGAATGCGTGGCTCGTTCCTCCTTTTTTTTTTTTTCCTTTTCTTCACGCTACGTCGCATTCCTCTATCGATTCTTGCCTTAGGACGAGCGGAGTGGAAAGGGGAGAACGTTTCATTGCGCTCAGTCGGTAAAAAAAGAAAGAAATTATTAAAATCGTCGCCAATTATCTACTTTCTATCTAGTCCTACGTCGCAGTCCTGTTAATTCAATCCGATTTCACAAATTTGAAAAAAGATGGAAAAGAATTTCGTTGTTGTTGCGTATCTTTTAATCTTACGCTAAAGATCTTCTTGGAACGTTTCTTTAATTTTTTTGAAACAAGAACCGAAATCAAGACATATATACGAAGAATGGATTTTAAGGAATTTAATGATTTTGGGAAATTTTTGTATATTTGTAATTTTGGAAAGTGCCTGTTGTGGATTTGAAATTTTCTAATCGTGTGTGCACGTTTATACATACATGTAATCGTTGTCACGCGATACTGGAATTTGCGTGCGCGGTTTTTCGTCGATTCATCGTTTTCGATGAGCTTCAATTAGTCAAGGACTTTGGGATTATTTACAATAATCCGCGATCGAGTATTTGCCGGTCAGCGGTATCGATACGAGACAACGAAAAGAAAAAGAAAACTGTTGAAAAGATACATTTTGGTAGGAAAGTGTGCGCGAGTATTAGGGTGGGAGTTGAGATATTTGATCCAAATTGCCAGATTACCGGCTTCCTTTTACTCAGAGTCAGAGTTTAATGTATATACGCACATACATTATCACACTGTAAAAATGAAATTTCACTTCGAGTGTTACACTATCTGTGTAGGAAACAATGCCCTTCAACCGCGTTAGTAAATTTTTACTTTCTTTTCTTTTTTCTCTTCTACAGAAAAAGAGAGAAAAAGATAAGAGACAACGAACGATCAAGAACAGATCAGAAGGCATTGTTTTTGTTATTAGAAATGAAATTGCGACGCCGGTTGCGTGGAAGTTTGGAAAGAGAGCAGGGGCGCGATACGGGAGTAAGAAGAGGAACGGTGCAGCTAGTAATGGCTTCGAGCGTGCCCTCGGTGTTTGCTATTGATATTACTGTGCAACCAACGACCAATCTCTCCACGTTCTCGTAACCTTTATTCCTGGACTTTAGATGGATAGATAATCAACGGAGCCTCGAGGGACAAGCGTACAAGAAACCGAAACGAATTCCTAAATGACTTTGTATCTTTCAGTGATGGTGTGTGGTTGTCGAACCTTATTTAAATAATTGGAGAGCAATTCAAAGCCATTGCTAGTCGGCACGTTAACGGTGGGTGGAGTGGGATCGTGTGGGTACGCGTGGGGACTCGCGAAGCGACGTAGGGTTGGCTGCACGCGGTGAGGCGAAGGACGCGGGCGGCAGATCTCTGGTGAGGGGTCCGCATTCCACAGACAATGTCACGTTTTTTAATCCCCGTTTTACTTTATTTGTGCTGGCTTCGGCCGTGAGGAAGGCCCCCAAACAGTTAACTTCGACTTCTGTCCACAGAGAGCAGAGATCCTCGTGACGGTGCCGTGGTCGTCAGCTTCGTTCCATCGCGGGAATTTCAACCCGGTGCGTTGATGAACACCTGCTGCATCCCTACTACCTACGAGGAGTATTTCCTGAAGTTCAGTCCCGCGTGAACGGAGTGAAGTTTTCTTAGAAATTAAGACTTTCGCGAAAGGGTGACAATTGGTGGACCGAGGACACCTTTGTTCCCGTTCTCGAAGAGGAAACACGAGGGAAAGAGATGTCCGCCGTCGAGAGCGCCTTGGATGTCCTCTCCAGGGCGGCTACCATGGTGCAAGGTCAGTTTGCCTCGTGACTTATGCTTCCGACGGATTGCTGGTGATTGTTCGTTGGGCGACGAGAGGATTTAGAGTGGGCTGGGAATTGAACTGGATAGTTTGTAACAAATTGTTATTGAGTCAGATATATGGATATAGCAGTCAATTGTCATTGTAACTAACTTCTATTTCAAAGTATAGTTTGCTTTCTGATTGACAGTTAAGGTAGTTAACTAATTAGTCTACTAATGTCACTGAAAGTAGAATAGTGTCGCTCGAAAAATTGGCAAAAATTGTTTGTAATAAAGTATAAACGCACACGTTAGATTGCAGAATGAAAGCTGGAAGTAAATGGAATGTGCTGGCTTCGACCGTGAAATGTAGATTACGTGGTTGTATATTGTTGATTATGCTTTCTGTAGTACACGTTCATGTCAATTTCATATGGTAACACGTAAAAACGGTTTTTGATTTTTTCACATTATAATTCTACGATGGTAGAAAAAAAAGTGGAAAAGTTATCATTAACCCTTGTACATCCTGTATCCATGAAACCTAAAACCTAAAATCATTTTCAGATATCCAGTTTATCAAGATATGCTCCAAAGTTTTCATCCAGAAGCACCCACTCTTCCTCCAGGAAATTCCCAAGTCCACGAAGGCGGTTACCAAAAAAAAAAAAAAAAAAGGCGCGTAAACAAAAAGATAAAACATGATCCGCCGAATCACTTGATAGTTCAGTAAAATTGTTTGGAATCTGTGTAAGAACAGAGGAGGCCAGTACGAGCCCGCATTCCTGCGAAATGCCAATTTCGCATCGAATTAGATAACATTGTACGCCGTTTATTTTAGATTCGTCGCGTTCGCGGCTCCTCCGACAAGCTCCTTGGCAAGAGCCTCGAACGAATTTCCTGTGACGTTTCATTTCAATTAAAACAATTTCACTCTGCTCTCGCAACACGTTTCAACATGTTCGAGCACGTTTCAATTGGTCTTCGTGTCAAAAAGAGTCGATCTGCTGTTCTGTATTCTTAAAGCCGCTTCTCCCGCGGTCACGAAACATTTCTTACTTAAAAAGTATGCCATTTTCGCAATGGTATGTAATCGACCGTAAACAATAGTATTTTCTCCACATGGGAATCATTAAATCATTCCATTTTGTCGTTAAGTTCAGCATTTCATTGTTTCAATGAACGACGATATTTTGTTACATTATTTTCGAAATGCGTGAAGGCTTTTGTTCAAACTCTGGATGTAAAAAGGAAATATAGGTGCGGAGCAGTATTTCTTATCGAAAACTGATTCATTGGAATTTGATAAAACGTAGCTCTATGTTATAGTCTTCTCTATAGTCTTTCTTTTCATTCAGTGACATTTTTTTCAAAATACAAAGGAAGGAGCAATTAATCAATATTAAAGGAATTAATTTCTTACTTTTATCGCAGCAAACGTTTGATTGAAAAATTCATGTTCATGTTTAGGGATATCTATTTTTCTCCTTCTCTTTTTGTTTTCGTTTCTCGTCGAATCAAGGATGTAAATCAAGACAGAATTGACTCAAATGACACAGTGAAGAATGTGAAGAATCAGAAAAAGTGTGACGCATTAGAGAAAAGGTTCCACTTTCGAAGGCAATCGGGAGCATGACGACCCGTTCTCGGTGATGATTTTCATAAATCATCAAACTGCTCTCTCTCTCTCTCTCTCACACACATACACACACACTCAATCTATCAGTCTATCTGTCTATCTATATATCTATCGAAACGTACAACGGAGCGTAACGAGCCCCGGTTCTCAGCAGTGTGACTGGTTCCTCTTGTGTGCGGTTTGTTGTGATGGAATGCCGTGCCTCGAACCTGTTCCGAATACCAGACGTAGTTGCGTATGCTTGCGGATGATGGCGCGTTCTGTGACTTTCTCGATGACCAAAAATACGTTTCCCCGGTCGGTTCCATTAGTTACCGACATAGTTTCAGATTGTCAAAGGGTAATTTATTCGATTTCGATGACGATTGCTTCTAATATATTTCGAAAGATCAACTAATATCAAACTTCGCTTCAAGACTCGATTCTTTGACGAATCGCAGACCGTAAATGTCTTCATTTCGAACGCAATGAAACTTACAATTGGGCAACGTGATAGAGCTAAATTTAGAGGATAGGAGATTTCAAATACCTTCTACGTTTATATTTCCTACTTCAGATAAGTACCATTTTCTCAAGTTTATTTTCAAGTAAAAAGCACCATCTTTCAATTGATTAACTTTCAGTGTGTTTCAGTTGCAGATTTCTTTTTTTTAATTCGGCACGCTCCGTGAGATGTTAATGACACTCGTCTAGCGAGAATGTACGCACGTTTCGATCGATCTTAAATTTTTGGAGCGCGAAATGTAGGAGTAATAGGAGGTATGCCCGAAATGTACGGAAACGTTCGACGAATTCACGCCCACGAAACTGCGATTCGCTGATGTACAGATATGTCTGATAACCATACGCGATTACTTGGTCGCGTTGCTATTAAAATGCCTGGCATTCCTGCCCGATGCCTCATGATTCCTTGAGGATAACTTGCTACCTTGATCTTGCTTAAGTATCGCGGCTAACAATGATACAGAGTATGATACCTTGCTACGTGTCTTGAAATCGATAAGTTTCAAGGTCATCGACCTGCTCCCACTAATTTTCCTCTTATTCTTTACTCTCCGATTACCTTTCGAATTTTTTCGTGAAATATTTTTAGTTCTCGGGAATTTTTATCCGAAATGTTTGCAACGATTGTGATATTTAATTGAGGCTGAAGAATTAGATGTCATGTTTCGTTTTTCAAGCATTGATTACAAATTGCAAATTACAAATGGTCACTTGTATAGTGCAAAGTGCATTGCTATAAATATTCAAGATCTTCTACACGCTGCACTCTAATGTTTACAGCATTAAATGTTGACATTTACATCGTGCAATCATCATTGAGAAGATGTGTAAAACATTTTGTTGTTTGGAAATGAATCAGTCATTGAAGCAATGTGAACGGTGTTTCTGGGTATAATTGTAGAACTGCGAGGATCCTTATCGGAACAAATTTTCCTCGCGAAACGTGACGGCGACGTGTAGTGTGCACGTGTACTGGACGCACATGTGCATTGATTGCCTGTACCTCGTCACGGAAAAAAGGAGGAAAGAGAAAGAAGAAAGAGGAAAGAAGCGAGTTTGTTGGCCAGAGGTGCTCGTATCCCTTGAACACTCATACTACTGCAGTCAGATAGCGATAGCTTTGAATCACACATCTTCAAATTAATCCTAGAACAAGTATTGGATAATACTCGACACAAGAAATATTGTACAATATCTGAAATAGTTTCTTCGGTATATTTAACATGAAAATTAACTATTGTTTAATTCATAGTCTGTCTAGCTATTTTTTTTTTTTTTTTTTTTTTTGCAAGAGATAATTATACGTTTCAATATATTTTCTTTTAGTAGGTCTGCATAATATCATGTGTCGTTCAGGTATTATATATTATATATGAACTATCAAAGTAATCAACACGATTGTTTTAATATTTTTCAATTTTAATGTTACAGCACTTGATTGCGCCTTAACTTTTTGTTCTTAAAGCAAATTTAATAATTAAAGCTGTCTCAAAGGTTTCTTAATAAATAATACTGCTGGATGAAATGATTTATTTCAAAAGTCAATATGATTATTCCAAGGAACATACTATTTTATACATTCTGTCTCATGCATACTATTTTATGCATTCTGTATGTCGTTAGATAAAAGTACACTCTACAATGTTCACTTGAATTTAAATTTTAAAAGAGGAACTTTAAAAAAATGCACACTACCTTATCAATTCTACTTTGCTTTTTGCTTCGTGGAGTTAATAGATTCGGCAAATGAGCAGCTCGTACGATGATACATACATGCATTGGAAGGCAAAGAGTTAGTTTAATTTTTCCAAAGTCTAAAAGTGTTCAAGAGTAATCGTGCCTTTGACGACCAAGTTCTACGAGTTGTAGAAAATCTCTAGAAAGAGACGAGAGAGTGCGAAAACTGGCAAGAAGAGTAATTGAACAAAACGAAGCCATCGCTACGATCCAAGCGCGCGGACCGTGTGCATGTGTAAAAGGCAAGCTTCACCAGCTGTACGTGGAGGGGGCAGACGACGGAACGAGGCGGATGAATGAATGAATCTTAAGACAGTCGTGTAAGAGGGACATTCACGAATCCACGTATCTCTGACTCTGTCTATCTTTTTGTAGAAAACTTGTGTCCAATGTTCCTCGGCCGTTCTTCGTATCTTTTAACGTGCTAGTTCGAACAATCTGGCGTGATCCTGCAGCCTCGGTCCACATGCCTCTGAAAGCCAACGATCCTGGTTTCTGGCCGACAACCAGTCGAATTCGTCGATAGATCGCGTCACGTCGCTTTCTTCGAGCTCCCCTCGAGGCCACCAGGACATCATGGAAGCCGCTTTCTTCGGCGAGAGGAAGATCCTCCCGTGGAAAGGATGTCTCTCGTATTTCGTCGTTTGAACTTGATTTCATAAGGCAAAGAGAGACGATTGTACGTAACAGAGAGAGTCGAGAAAGTGGATCGAAATCTGTGCAGTTTTGATAACTCGATCTATGGAAATCTAGTGGGTTCACGGTGTTCTCTTGTCCTTGAGACTGTGGACCATTTATGAGGGGGGGAACAAGAGAGGAGAGGAATCGTTGATTTCTGATTATATATATATGTTTGTCGATATTCGTGGTGGTTGCAAGTTGGGTTCATGACACCTGAAGATTTTTGGAAGCATGGAGGTCTCGCCGAGGAGAAGGTGCCTCTGGCAACCGTGGCTCACCACGGACAACTTTCAAACGGTATACAAACCAGGAGGTACGTGGGGAAACGTTCTGAAAACATTTAGAAACGTATAGAAAGTCGTTTCCCTGTATTTTGTCATTTAATTTCGCTGCATAATCTTTCAACGAATGTTGAGGCTCGTAAGGGGAAACCTTGCATACCGGTACCAAAACGTTGAGTGTAAAAATAGTGGAAGAACGAGCGAAGAATGTAAATTTGAAAGTTATGTATCTCTGACGAAGCTATTTGTATTTCACGTGCAACAACTTCTTCTCTGATATTGGCTCTGATCATTTCCATCGATATTTCAGAGCTCTGGCCTTCTAGCGACTACCTTCCTCTGTAAATCATCGAATTCAGGAAAGTATAGCAGAAGTTGGCAACTAGCGAGTTAATTGAACGGAACGATCTCGGCTTCGATCCACGCGTTTGGTCCATTCATCTTCTCCCTGACCGCTGGCTCATCCTTTGCCTTTAAACCAGTTTGACCGTCTTCCTGACGATCCTCTCACGGCTATTAGGCACTTCCTGCCCCATCCTGGGAACCAGACTCGTTTCTCTACTCACCCTTCGCGCCCTCCTCCTCTTTCCACCGCTCTCTTTTATTCTCCTCGCGCTTCTCTCTCTCTCTCTCTCTCTCTCTCTCTCTCTCTCTGTGTGTGTTTTTCGATCATTCTCTCGAGGGGGTTGCTACATCGATTTCCAATTTTAGATATCGCGGAAAACAGAAATAGATGACCCATAACATTTTATAAATAAATTAAACTCGACGCTGGAGGCTCAAGGACAGATCTCTTGGTTCTTTAACGATCGTAGGATCATTTTGAAATTGTCGAGACAGTTTGATGTGTGTATTGAGTAAAGGGTAGTAAATAGAGAAGAAGGGTTGCTTGGACAACCCGGGCAATTCGCTTCGTCTCCGGGTTTGTCAGTCGCGGCGTGCGTGCAAGGAAAAGTCAAGGAAAGATGCGTGGTTGCATAGTTGCATGCAGTTTAGGAACTAGCGGAATGTGGTCTACATATATCTACAAGCTTTATCTGTAGGAAGAGGAAGTGAAGATTATTTCAAATATCAAACAACTTCGTTATCACATTTATTTGCAGTTTCTCTTTTGAAACATCAAGAAACTCTTCCAATTATCTCCAGTACAATTTTCCTATCGTTTCTAATCTCATACACTCGATACACTTTTTTTCATAACTTCAAAGAGTCAATCGAGTTTCAACAAATGGAAGAAAACATCTCTTCTATTTCATCAATACACTGGGATCTTAGAAATTTGCCAAATTACAGAAAAGGTTCTATTTACAAGAAAGAATTGTCAATCTGCACAAGAACACGCGAATGAATCTGATGCAAGATCTCCTCTTTTTTATTGCGCAGAAGAGAGGCCGAAGACGACGAATCTCCACCGGAAGCCGAGCAGCGCGTGGCGCAAGGAGCGTAGAAGGGATCCAATCCAAAGTGAAGCACTGGACATGACCGCTGCCAGAGTCCATCATCATCATCACAGCAGACCTAGCGTGATTGTACCTACCACGCCACAGCCTGGTAAACTTCTGATTGCTGGTTTCTGATGTTCCACGCGAATTCGTTAGGCGAGTGGCTTGCTCCTGTTGTTCTTGGCCTTGCGGGGGGCAACCAAGAACGGCTATTGTCTGGCGTGTGCATGGGGGAGGGGTGCACTATGTGCTTTGACAATGTGGCGTGATGCACGCCGCGCAGATGCTTGGTCGTTGAATAGAGGAATACACGATTCACGTCGGCCACAAGGCTGAAATTCCTCTATGCAGAACTGTGAAAAAGAAAAAAAAAAGGAAAGAAAGAATTTTTTGAACTGAATTTTTAACGTGAGGTTTAATTAGAATTGACTGAGGATTAAGTTGAGCAGATTCGAAGGTAGAGATGATGTCAGAATTCAAAACTGAACTCCTTTCATTAAGAGATAGCAAGGGCGTTCATTTAATGGGAAATTTGAAGAATACACACAACGCACGGAAAATGTAAAAACATACATAAAATATCAAGTTCAGTTTTCTTAGTTATGTTAAAATATATAAGTATCTAATAAATGATAAGCAGTCTAGTAAAGATAAAATTAATAAGAATATTTTTAGATTGATTGCAGTATCTGATTAAAAAGCTTCTTTCTTACGTCAGAAATATTCACCAATATTGTATATGCTGTGTTTTGTAGATTGAATAGATATAGATTGAATATTTAAAAAAGTGCTCTTTACCAGGAACGACTATTGAAGACACGGCAGTAACGCCGACCCCGTCACTGACGCCATCGGCGGCAGCAGGAGGCCAAAGAACCGGGGTCCGAACTGTGGGTGGTGTGAGTGATCCTGCAATAGACGAACATTTCAAGCGATCTTTAGGCCTAGAGGAGTACGCCGCAGTTTTTAACGCCACCACTACTGACAAAGAAGCAGGCCTCAGTGGTACGCCATTTAAAAAAAGAAAAAGAAAAAAAACATTTCTTTAACAAAAAAAATGTCATTTCTCCTTCGCTTCAAAAAAGGGAGGACAGAAAGAGAAAGAGATGGTACATCTTTCAAATTCTTTCAGTGGATGATCACTTTGCGAAGGCTCTTGGAGAAACCTGGACGAGGCTGCAGGCAACCAGCAGAAGCAAGGACTCGACCTAACTGCCGGACGGTTAACCAAAAAGTCCTCACTGTCGTCACATCGTTGCAGTTGCTTCCGTTTTCTTCGCTGTGACAATGTGGTTTCACACACCTGTGTCTAATCAATCCATAAATTAACGTGAAATCGCTATCAATATTCGTGGAAGGAACAGTGGGAGCAACCAACGGACTCTGTATTATTAATATTATTACTATTGCTACTATTACTACTACTACTATTATTATTTTTATTACTACTATTACTACTACTACTACTACCACTACTACTACTACTACTATTATTATTATTATTATTATTATTTTTATTATTATTATTATTATTATTATTATTATTATTTGGTTCGCGTGGAAAGCAGAACGAAAGAGTACCCAAGTGTCCTTGGAATGTCACAGATGCTCTTGAGTGTAATCGACGGTGTACCGTACGTGTTTCTAACTTTTTGCGACAATTGTACTCGAGATAATGTATATATAGACGCGTATTCTTTTAATCATGCCATCATCGCGGCCTCAGAGGCCTCAAGTTATTTATTATACGATGTTCCATACTGCCTCGCTAAATGCTAGAGCCGTTCGTTATTACTAACTTCTTTCTGCTGCGATAAGAAGTTGAATTGAAGAATCAGTTGTCTTTAACAGAGACTTTTTTTACGATTCTCTAAGTCGTCACGTCTATGCACCGAGATGTTTTGATCTTTTGTTAAATGTACATTCAATTTTAGCACAACTCTCGTAACGACTTTAACGAGAGTTTTGTGCTAAAATTGAAAGGGCAATGTTGAAAAAGAATAGGCCACCGAATTCGATTCGATGTAGAACCGTATAGGGTTAAAATTTGCAGCTGTGAGAGAAGTGTACAACGAACGGAGCGACTTGTATGTAATTAATTATTTGCCTAAACGTATTACATGCGCATGTATGTATTGGGTATATATATGTATACGCGTTACATATATCTGACAATACGTATACGTAAGTAATGTGTACATTGTAACTATAGAAAACCGAGAGTCTTTATAAAGAACGTAGAAATTAAGCACGAAACCGTATAAATTGAATCGGTCGTTGCACAAACTTGTAACACGTGTTCACCTCGTGTAACTATATATATAAATACACACACACACACACACACACACACACACACACACACACACACACACACACACACACACACACACAAACAAACAAATAAACACACACACACATTGTATCAAAGAGAAGAAAGAAAAAAAACGAAACAGGATATATGGAGAAATCGACCGACGACATTTTTAATACCAATTTTTGAACACGCATCTTTCCATCTCCAGTAGATATTCCCAAGCGGTGGTGAAGATTGCTAAGAAGAGTAGTACTGATTTCAAATGGTGCTAGGAGGTTTAGCACAAACCCCAGCACGCACAGAAGTCAGTACCTCTGTCTTCTTATATTGTCTTCAGATCCTCTTCACTTCAATGCCTTCACACGTTGAAAACTGCTACTCTGTACAGTTCGCGCGGCGGTTCAAATATTTTACCTCGTTTATAAGATCAAACTGAACTGAATTCAGATCCAAATTGAGATTTGAGCTGTCTGAAGATCCCCGGAGTCGCGCACTTTCTTCAGCTCTCAAAATTTGGTGGCAACTCCTTTGGTCAAAACCAATTCCTAGGAAGGAAGAGTTCACCTCCCAAGGAAGAAAAATTCACACGAATCCTCTACTCCAGTTCCAGTCTCTTCCATATGTACCAAGTTTAACCAAGTAAATGCCACTTAATCTTAACGATAACCAGTACCATCGGTGAACAATTCCACTCCACAGTGTGTTTCTTCCAGTTCATCCAACAGAACAAAGATTTCTCCTTTTTTGCGTGAGAAGTAATCCCCTGCCAATTGAAAGCGTCGAAAGAAGAAAAGATGGAGGAAGTCGGACGTTTGGGGACACGTTTTCTCCTTTCTTCTTCCTTTTTTGTTGTTTTCCTTTTTCGAAACGAAACGACGGATGACGATGGGCCGGGAAGAAGAAGAAGAAGAAGAAGAAGAAGAAGCAGCGAGGCTTTACGATGTCGTAGGTGGGCCCAGACCTAACCCAGACTGTCCCAAGAGCGCTCGGATGGCTTCCTATATGCAGGCAGCCTGTTCACTTGCCGTAAAGCAAAATGGTAACTTAATATTAGACTTGAATATAAGTACGGTAATCCCACACCAGAGTCCAAAGTAAGCCTATACCTACCCGGCCGGCCATCCCTGGACCTCGGTTCCCCCTTACGAACGCCCTCGAGCGTAATAATACGACGGGATACTAGATATCGGTGCTCTCTGTGCTTCTAGGTGCAAATTGCGACCACCTATGCACGGCACCGCCGTTCCTGTTTCTCCGTTTCTCCGACTTGTACCAGCGTCTCTCTTCCTGTCAGCAAGCTCCTTACAGCCTGTCCTCCGAGAACACGACTCTGTTCTCTTCTCCTCGACAAGCCGAGCGGGATCGTGCGACGTCCTCGATACCGAGATGTCCTTTAATTTAGATTATGTCTTCGTTCGAAAATTGTATCAACGGAGGAACGCGGAGGTTATTTCAACCACCCCTAACTGCAAGTGTGTCACTGCAAGCCTGGAAAGTTTAGGTCTCTCGTCGCTTGATTTTGGAATTTTTAGTTTTGTTGCTATCAGGGAGATTGCGAAGTACCCTCGAATCTTTGTCATGCAATACAAATTACTGTATCTGCGACTCCACGATGCCACTTATGGGGATTAAGGTAGCTGAAGTGACGACGAAGCTGAAAGTCAGGTTTTCTTCGGTTGGTTAAGAAGAGAGGCGAAGATTTTTCTAAGAGAATAGTGTTTCCTTTTTTTTCTGTTAACGAGGTATAATTTCCGCGATGCGGAATCGCAGAAACTCGATCTGATTTTTCATCGTTTCTTTTTCTTCTTTTCTTTCAGAGGAACGCCGCCGTGGGCGCTCCCCGAAGTGCGACGACCTTCGCGCTGCGAAGAACTAGGATAAACCAGTGGTCTGCATGTCTCTTTGGACGTACGGAGTAAGCTAATCCGGCTGCATATCATGTTTGCAGCCCCTTTAAACGATACTGATACGCCTTAGTCGCGAAAGTCGTATGTCCCGAGCCTCAGGCGTGTTTCTTCATCTCTTCGCTTAGGAATTCTCGTGCTCGTCGCGCTCGTCGCGTCCAGAAAGATGCGAACGAGGAATTTGGGAATTTTAGACAAACGTGAGTTTTACTATTGATTCACCACAAGCAACAACAGGTGTTCAGAGTGGTTTTTAATGACAATCAGGAATTTTCTAGGACGAGAGACGGTTGTCCAACGACAATAGGAAACATGGTTACCAGCAATTTCTAGAATTAACCAACATCTAGGGGTGGAAACGCAGTTGAAAATAGGCCAGTAGACCGCGGGCAGATGCTCTCGCCGAAGCTATTTCTCCGTGCACGCAGGTGTTTCTACGACTGTCGTCCAACTTCCACCCTTCCATCGGACATGGACGCATCCCCCTGCGTCGACTTTGTGATTCCACCCCTGCTAGATGCTATAATTTCTCTCGCGTATCGGTTGAAAGGGGAGGCCGCGAGATTAGAATTGAATTTGGACACTGGAATTGGTTCTGGAACGTTCGTCAACGTTCATTTTATTGATAAAATAGTCAGTCTTTGAAAACCAATTGTTCTGAAAAATTTCTGATAAATTTTCCGATTACAGATTCGAAGAGGAAAGTGTTTGATTTTATTGTAGACAAGAAGAAGAAAAAATAGGGAATTTTTATTTCTACCAAACCGTAGAACGATGAAGAATAATATTGCACGTTCTGTTCTCTGTGGAAAGAATAGAGGAAGCGGGATTCGCGAGAAGAATTCTTTGACGGTGGACCAATAGCCACCCCACGCAGATGGTCTCCCCCGTAAAAAGCGGCTCTACCATCGTGCTCCAACCGAGATATCGATCCAAGTTCCTATCTCACCCTCGATCGAACCGCGTTCCGAAAATTTCTTTCATAGCGCGTATATCCTCCCTTCTAATTACTATTCTCCAGAATTATTAACGGATTAATGGTGGTGATCGGGGCTTCCTTCCGCGACAAGTGGAGACAAGTCGTCGTGGAGGCGGCTCCATTTGTTGCTCTTCTACCAGAGATCCAGTAAATCGACTAGCTTTTCTATTCGGTTCGCGGCATATTACTGTTTGTTTATTTTAAGTCCCAGGCGTATCTTGTTTCGGAACCAGACCCAGCTGACCGCAACCTGGCATCGTTTTCTCGTTTTATTCTCTTGCGTTACGCGTCAACCTGGTGTCGGTGGCGCGAATTAAGCGAGAAAAATCGATGCCGTGAAGCGGATGCACGCAGTTTCCAGAACGATCGGCTCGATTTTTCTTTTTTCTTTTTTTTTTGGAATTAAACAAACGTTCAACGTCCTCAAATCTTCTCGATCCATTTACACGAGGCCATCTTTGTCTTTTCATGTGAATACAATTTGTCGAAAATTCACGAACGATTTATTGGAAATCTTCTTTTCTGAATTACCAAAACTTAATTGAGATCTTTTTCATTTTCAGGTGCAAGGTTGCAGAGATTGTTTTTGTTCTACTGAAAAGTGAAGTTGCTGAGCGTGAAGCTGCTCGAATTGGAAAGAATCGGAGGAATTTCTATGGATGTGTGCAACAGGTTGGGTTAAAAATAATTAATCGATGAATAATTGGAATTAACGAGCGGAGATGATGATCGATGGTTTTGCAGAAACACGACACGACAATAGAATTTCAAATGCATCTGGACGCCTCACGTTGCTAGCCTTGCATCGAAATCCCCGAGCCACCCCCAACGCGAAGGAAAAAAGCGACGCTCGCGGATATCTTCCTAGCGAAATATTCGACGCGCAGAATACAATATTCGATAGAAAAAAAGGATCGAACGTCTTTCATAATAATCTCAGGTAAAGAGACAAGAAACTCATTTGCGTTAATCCAGCTAAAGACAACTTCAGCTTCCAGTTCTGTAATTTGCAATTTTTGTTAGTGTGAACTCCAGAAGGGAAAGTAAAAGGGAAAAAAAGTATAAAAGAATCATCGAACGTTGACAAACGTCGCAAAATTAAGAATCAAGAAAGATCGCTCCTCCAACATTTCCAACAATCAAACGTGATAACTCGTAAATTTTACAGATCCCAAAAACCTGAAACTGAAGTTTACCTGAAGTTACTGAAGCTGTTGGTATCCCAGCAGGATGCTGTTGTTCTTGTCAGACGCTGTTCAGAGTGCGAGGGAGAACCTGCCGCTATCCACCACTGTAAACACCAGCACATGCACTGAGGAGGTTCCAGCCCTCCGAGTATATATCGATATCGATATCAATTTGCAAAATCGAATGACGAACGCGGGATCACCGGCGATCGCGCACTGGAGGTAGCCCGCGGACGAGTTTGACGCCGACGCATTTGACGGAGACCGTCGATGCTAACCCCCTCCCCTCCGCCAGCTCCGTGGCATGTGGAACTGTCATAGATCCCGGAAACGCTCGGCAGGGAAAGCGCGGAAGGGCGCGGAAAAATTCGCGAATGGAAGTGAAACGAAGAGTTGAAAGACAGGCGAGAATGGGCGACGTTGGGAAGAGCCATGAAAGTTCGCAACGAGCATGGGACTCTGGACACGACTGATCGAGTGACCGAGGGGGTAGCATTGTAAGAATACCCCTCCTCGTGCGCTTGTATAGAATTACGTGTGTTGATCGCGCATACAGCTCTCTCCGTCCCCTTGGTTCGCGGCAAAAGGGAGCACGAAGGGAGAAGAGTGGCTCTCCGTTCTCCCTTCCCCTCTGTTGCCTCTCCTACAGCCTTTCACCGTGCGTATACCCACCCCTGCGTACCCCTGCCCCCCGGCCCCCCCTTCGAGGCGTCCTCTCTCGCGTGCGTGAATCATGCATATCGATTTTCTTTCGTTAGTACGTCGTTCGGTAGTCGTTGCCCGGCTGTGTGTACGCCTCTGACGATGCGTTTCCCCTCTTCTTTCGCGCGCGGCGAGAGAGAGAGCCTGGGGGCCGACTGCCGCTCTGGAACCCCTTCTGAAAATGCGCTAGACGCGCCACCGCCGCCGATTCTTTTCGCCACAATGGATAGAGGAGGTTCGTTTTTAGCGGCTTGGTGGCTGAACCCACGATCTGGATATAGAAGTTCCGGGTTCGACGCTGGGGAAGGATGTAGTTCTTAATAGGGGGGGGGGTTAAGAGGTTCCTCCAACCTCGTCCGCGGGAATAGTCTGTACCAAAAGTAGAAGGGACACTCGGAAAAATTGGAAATTCTTAGAGACAGTAGTGGCGAAGCTGTGAAAAAAAAGAGAGAGAGAGAAGCAAGCGTTGAGTGGAGATTGATCCAAGTCTATTTTTAGATATTTAAGACTGTCGTCATTGCAGAAATTGAGAGGAAGAATTTGAGGAAGAAAGCAAAGGATGAAGAGGTCGATGAATGGAAAAAAAATTTGTAGGGACTAAAATGGCCCGGTCTGGCCTGACCCCCTTCCTCGGACGCTGAAAGCCCTTAGAGAGCCCCCCTTTTTTTTGCTCGAGCAAAATGTCCCCGTATGAGGCGAAACAACGATGAGACGATGCTCTTGTACCCGGTCCCCTCTCTTTTTTTTCTAATATACTCCCTCTAATCGCGCAGCAGCAGGCCTTTGGTAATAAAGTTTCTTTGTTTTTGCTCACTCCTTTCTCTCTTCTTGTCGCAAGTTCCCTCGCTATTATTAATGACCACGGTCAATCGATTCGCAGTAATTAACCAGTTTCATTGTCGCCGGCTTTTGAAACACGAATCCACTTAATTTCTGTAATTTCTTGGAAAAACTTGGAAACTTTCGGCTTTGCGCCAGAGATCTTATTCTTTTCTTTCAACTTTGTTTCATGAAAAATTGTTTATATTTATTCTCTGGAAAATATTAACTTTTATTCTTCCTGGTCAAATTGAAAATTGTATACGTTCAAAGAAAAATCTTATTCTTATTTTTAGACATATATGAATTTTTCATGTCTTTTTGAGAATTAGTAAAGATTTATTTTTTTTTTAAATGGGAAGGAAGACAGGGATATGAGAAGAGAGTAAATAGTATCGATTTATAAACAATTCCTTTAATAATAAGTAAACAGTGACAGATATGGCGCTTCAACACGATAGAAATAACGTTTATGTATATATACAATTGTACGACATTTACAACAATCTTACACTGCCGTTAAGAATAATTACATTCGTCAACGACAGGGGAATTAAATTAAAATCTTACAAATTTATAGTCTCCGAAAGAGATTCTCCAAAGAGATTCGAAATAAATAGAAACTTCGTTTTTTTTTTTTTTTTATTTTTATCCCCCTTGCTACGTTGTGGGCTTTAAAATGGCACGATATATTGAAAATGTATTTTGGCGAATTAAGTATATATTTTCGCGACGGCTCGTATGCTAAAGAATAACACCGCCATGAAAAAAGTTGGTCTTCTAGTACACGTGTAAAAAGTGTTCCGTTATGAAGTACATCGTTAAAATGCAAATTGGAATGCATAATGTTCTTAAATACGCGTGTATCTACGAGATAATCGAAATGTTTCAGCGAAACATTCGATTAAAGTGCTCGAATTAATTCATGTAAATTGTTTATTAGATTTATTTGGCCACTGGATTACTGCTCTTATTTTATCCCAATATATATATTACTAGAAATTGAGATTATGGTTTACAAACCTTTTTTTTTCTCTATAGAATTTTCAAATTGTTCCCAGTTTGAAAAACGATTTTTCTACTTCCATACGTTTTCCTTTCATTTATTGCAACGAAATTGGTTGCTCGGGATAATAATGTATATGATCACTTTAGTCCTAACGAGTTTTTAGGTAATCTTCCGCTTGAGCATCGGTTGAAATACGTCCTTTGTATTTTACAATTCAACTAGGCTTGAGTATTGGTTCCTCTAATATCCTTCGTAGAATACGCATTCGTCAATTTCTATTTTCGTTTATAGTTCGTGAGAAATCAAGTTCCCCCACAGTTTCCCCACGTTTCACTTTTCTGTTCAAGATCTTTGGTGCAGACAGCATTCGATAAAAAAAAAGAGAGAGAGATTCGTAGGCGTTCTGAATTCCGAGAAACACTAAATAAAATTATCAGATCTTAAGTTCTCTGAAAGTTTCTATGTTGCACCCTTGGTGAAATCGAGTAGAGCTTCCGGAAAATGTCTACCAAGTTGTTCTGGGGAAACAGAGTCTCGACAATTCCTTCTAGGAGCACATACAGAAGTCTTCTGTTAAGCACAGGTCGCTGGAACAATTCGAACACTCTCAGGAGACCTCTCCTAGTTGTTTCACTACCTATGATATGTTTCAATTCATCTGAAAGACATGACAGAAGTGCCACCTTGGCTGCCACTCTTGTCCTGTTTTTCATTTCAGCGTCCCTCGGTGGTTTCTTCTCGGCTTTGATTCCATTCGGCCAGAAACTATTCCTACAATATTCGCATGATTAGTTAAATAACAATTAACTAATTGATTCCACGTGGCAAAATGTAAGTTCACGTACTTAAATAACTTTAAATATCCAGCTACTCTGGCTGGACTTGTTAGTAAGGAAACGTATTCGACTATTCTTCGATTTACTATATCGCCAAACATAGTGCGAATGATCTGCCTGAGTAACGTGATTATTCTTCGTCTGAGCCACTGATTTCTTACTTTTAGGTCGAAAATTTCATCCATCAACAGTAGCATTATTCGTAAAGGAATGTTGTCGTCGGTCTGAAATAAAAAGAAGTTAAAATATACTACTTAAATATCACGTGATCATTATATGTGTGTGTGTATATATATTCATTTATAAAGCAAAAGAAAGAAAAAAAAATAACTACCTCCACGTCCAGACTAGCACTAACTTTGGTGTTCTCATAGAAGGCGTTAGGTTTTTTTGGATTGCCAAAGAATTTACTTATATTGTCCATAACTTCATCTACTGTATTCAGCATATTATCCGGCATAGTTTTCACTGCCTGAGTTACTGTTTTCATTGACGTTTTCAACGGGTTCATCAGAGTATCTATCTGTATTAAATCGAGGATTAAGTATCTTGTATAATCCTCTTACCTGTATATACAGAGTGTACCAGGCAAACAAAACTCTTTAAACAGAACATCATGCATTGAATTACCGTCGCCAATTATTGGAAAATTCTTACATTCTTCTCTATTTTCAACTGATCGAAAGATACAGTTTGTCTCAGTTGCCTAAAACACGCTGTACAATTATTATAATTACCGTTTTGGATATCTGTCCGCCCGTGACGCCTTTGTCGTAATCTCCTTGCTCCAGAAAGCTCAATAACAAATTCTGTAGACCCATGTGTCCCTCGACGACAGTTGGTTTTGTTAATTGATGCAGCCAGGCATTCAACATCAACATTCTTCTTTCCAAAACTGTTCTTTCCATGTTATGAAAAGCTTTCTTCGCTGGAAAAGGAATTTTCGCTAGGTCGTAATATTTTTCCTTGATCTTCTGATGAAGATTGTAGAAATCAGAGTATCTTCTATAAATGTGCCACTTCTCCTGATAACCCGAGTCGTAATTCTTAGTCACGGCTACTGCGTAAATTCCGTAAGTTTTCCCGCGATCATTGACTATCCCAGTTTCGATAATTTTGGCAGTAATTTCGAATTTTCCCTGTTGTAGCTTCTTAATGGCATTCTGATCGTAAGTATTTTCATCCAATTTAACAAATTGCTCTGCATTCGATTCCAGATAGAAAGAGATGTCCTTGCCTTCGCTAATGTGGTCTGTATCGATGCTGGCCGCTTTCCTCATGCTTTTCATAGTCTTAACGTTGATGGTAGAATCAGACTCGGTTGATTTGTCCTCATTTGGCTCCACAATACTAGCCAAACTCGTCGAAGAGCTAGACTTCTCTTTGCTATCTTTCAATTCAGCTGGTTTAGCGTCCTCTGATTTGTACATCTCAGACATCTCGTCCAGCGTCTCCAATTCGTTATTCGTACTCGACAAGCTAATACTATCCAAAGATTTCGTGTCCTCTTCAGACGTTGGATCTTTCAGGAGATCTAATTCTGCAAGAAGCTTTACGTAAGCCATGGACCTTTTGAAACCTGGTAGAAATCGATCTTCGTTCTGTAATTTTTCGTAACAGCAAGATCTGAGATCGTCGAACCACGTCTCTTTCACAGGTTCAGTTCTTATTCTAGTCAACAAAGTCTTTACCAAGGCATCATCCAACTGCAACTTAGGGGATGCCTTGTCGCTGAGATATTGCTGGTAAATTTTGGTGGCTGCCTCCTTCAAATTTTCTAGATCTGTGTTTTTGCGCTTAGTGCCCACGAGAGCAGGGGTCGCTTGGGCCACGTGTAGCTTTTGCAATTCGATGTTCGATATCTGTTGCTCCGCCGATACTCTCCAGCCATAGATATTCAGGTAAAAGAACAGGTACGATTCTGCATTTATGGAGGTCATGTAGTCGATGAAGTAACTTAAGGCGATATTGTTTTTCAGTAGCTCATCTAGAGGTAAATTCACTAACTTCTGCCCGGGTATTAGCAGCCTGTTCCAATCGGGCTGAGTACCGATTCCGTCGGTCTCCGACTCCAGCCCCTCCTGCATTCCGATAATTCTGGTTTCTAAGATTTTTTTCACATAAAGTAAACTATTCAATTGTTGTTTCACCGATAGGTCATCCTCCCCTCCAGAATCCTTGGAACGAAGATGAGCTATTTCTTTACAAACTATATTCTTTGTCGCCGTCAATTCGTCTAAGCTATCGGTTACTCTGATCACCGTTAAAAACACGTCACTAGGTAAGCCACCTTCCTTAGCGCACTAAAAAATGCAAAATTATAAGAGGCATAATTTCCCCCCTATTCTGGTATTCATGGTGAACTTGTAATACACTTACCAGCCATATACACGCCTGATTAATATAATCAGGATCAGAGAATAAATCCAACAATGGTTTGATAATCACGTTCACTAACAACTCCCTCAATATAAATCTCACAGTCAGGCAATCAAAGTCTCCCTTTGGCAATACGAGATACAACAGAATTTCCGATATTTCTCCCAGAAATTCGAGTTCCTGGATGCTGTTAGTGCATACTAGATCCCTGCAGATTAGATTGTTCTCCATCTGCACCTCTAGATCGAAAAATATTTTCTCCAACGACTCCTCTTCTTTCTCTTCGTTGCTCTCGATTGGCTCAGTGAGAGAAGACAAATTGGGAATGTAGAACTTGGACTGAGAATACCAAGACACGTCTGTCTCGCTTTTATTCCGTCTATGTGTGGGTGTCTTCTTAGGTGTGCCGCTGGAGGTGCTCGAGCTTGCACTACCTTTCTGCAGTTTCTTCGACCGAAGTTGCTTTGTCCTCGCTCTTGCCTGTCGATACAGTCTAACGTGGGAAGCTGCATCGTCCACGAGGCGCGTAGTTAAATATGGTATCCAGTCCACACCTTTCACTCTAATTTAAAAAAAGAAAAGGAAAGAAACTAATGTAAAAAAGACGCATCAAACTATATGCGTTTTACGTACCGATTTGCAATGTTGATGGCTATTTTCTGAGCAGTATCTCGAACGGAATATATAAATTCCTCGTCGTCTGTAATAATGCTGTACCATGGTTCCACATAATCTCTGATAACGAAATCTAATATTTCCTACACAAGAAGTCGCAAATCGTACGTTACTCTTACTATTTCACGTTGGACTACGTATATAAAAGCAATAAAAATTTTTATATCGTCTATGTACTTGCAGGGACTCGTCAATAATGCGGCTGCCGGTGATCCTCCTATCTAAAGTAAAAGTCATCTTCTGGTTGGACAGATCTAGAATATACTGAAAGAAGAAGCAGAGTTTAAGCAGGCTCAAGAAAATTGACCCAGTTATACTCTGCAATATTTACTCACCTGCCGTAACTTTTCAGTCTTCTTGTTTAAGTCTTCCCTTTCAGATTTAACTGCATTGTCGACATTCGCGCCATATGTTCTATATATACACGTGAAAATTCTGCAACAAGAGATAGATGGATAAAAACATTGATTATCCCAATATATCTCGATATTGAAACATCAAATGGCTGTTTGGATCATACCCTAAAATTAAGGCTAGCAGACAGACAAACAGCTTTGCTATCATTCCAATCCCAACAACATACACGAGTACAGCAGCCGCAACTCCAAGAAGCCCATATAGTGGAACGTTCATCTGCAAAAAGTCGCAGTTGCTTAAACGATAACAGATAGAGAACACACTGCAAAAAAGAATAAGGCTGCAAGATGTTGAAACAAAGTTTAACGACAACTTCTGACTCAAGATAATCAAATATAAATATACATTACTGGAAATTTCCTACTCGATGGTCTTTATCAGCGATTAAGCGTAAAGTATAGCTTTCCTCGAGCATTATCGCGAGATTGAGTTTTCACGAGTGAATTTTCACGAATTCTTGTCTAGCCACGTCAGGCTTCACCCAAGCATTTTCTCTTATTTCACAGTTTGACAGTTTTTCAAATCAAACTGATACCAATGTCATATTCGTGATTGTGATTGTCACATTGACGTTTCCATCGCGGGTCGGAAGTCGAAGTTGTGTAAATAGACAGGAGGACGGGCAGAGTGACAGGAGCTCGCCAAGAAGGATCTTAAACAATGGAAATCTCACGGAATAAGTGCAATTCCGATGGAAATATCTCGGGAAAATTGTTTGATCAATCAGTGCGTACTCGATGAAGAATTTGCGCACGTTGGAACAGAAATAAACGTTGACGAAACAATATGTTCCGTCTGCTACGTTCGATCGTTGCACATACGCGCGCGCGCGCGCCATTCTTGAGCCCCTACCTTTGGATTCCCGGATAAACGGTTCTGTGCATGCAGCTACGCACATATTGCGGTCCTCGTACGATTCATCGCACGAAACTGGTCAGCTAATCAACAGTTTATTTACATCTTTGCAGGTGAACATTAATCCAGCAAATACATCCGACGACATGTCTGATTAATTCCGTATGCGGATGTTAGAGGCGCTTTTGCGCGCTAACTTTACATGCCACACGTCCCATATATTGTTTGATTTTTTACAATTTTCAGTGACTCCTGAATTTTATCTTCCCATAAAAATATTTTATATATATATATATATATACATGTTCTATATATATATTAAATTATATAAAATATTTTACAATTTTATTGACATTATAACAAAACGCAATGTGTCTGTTATATGATTGTATTAGTTAGACCTAAAACTAATTTGAAAATAATTATTACGAATATATACTCAATAGAATGTTAGTATATAATGTTAAGTATGCTAACAAATGTAACTTATTAATATAATGAATATAATACTGATAGATGTGACGAGTGAAAGTGATTCAAACCGCAGTTATTTGTATTTTCGCTCGCAGAAACAATCCTGCGCATTTGAATGCGCAGTTATCGCACTTAACGGCGCGTTTCTATGATAAATTAATCGCTATACCAACCTTGAACATACAGTAACCAATACAATTCCTAGGGAAATGATAGTGATGTTTAGTTTTCATGTTGTGCGTATGTTATTTCTAGGACGGTTTGAAAATTTCAAAATCAAATCCGTCAACGTATACGTTGACCAGTTGTCGGTATTTTCTGTGCTTGAAAAGACAATATTCTGAAGAGAAGAGTGTTTTTTGTGTAATCAATTATTGACAGAATTGCGAAAGGCTTGCTTGAGAAACTATAAAGGTACCTATAAACCATACCGATAAACATATTGTATAAAAATGATATAATATTTGAAGTAATATTTTGTTTACCTTTACGTTTTTCTTTGCAGATTATGTTTAAATATCTTCCGACTCGTAACAGCTTGCTGTAATACTTCATTAAATATCTGATTCATAAGTTTTTTGACGTGATGGACAATTGTTGCGCACCACAGTGGGCAGATTTTACACGCAGCCCGCAAATTTTTTCCGACGATTATTTCGAGATAGAACACGAAGTGCATAAACCCCAAATGTATTTTAAATATTCATCCAATTTATCCTCGTGCAATCAAGAAAATAGAAACGAACAATCTGTCAATGAAACAAAATTTGATGACAGTTTAGAATCAGGGACCTCTGTATGTTCTAGCGTAGTGTATTTTATACCTCATGACAATAAAAATCATGCTGTGGTGCAAATTACGAACAATGAACCTCGCAAAGAGTTAAAGCTAGATGAGAAGTCCAGTAAGATTCATGAAACATGGAGCGTATCAATAACAGAGCTAACGTCTGCTTTTAAGGTAACGCCAACAGAAAGAAAAGTTAAAAGGATAATACCCAAGAAGAGTAGAAAAGATATGTCAGAGGCAATGTCCTCATTGAGAGATACTTTTGTCAATGATGTGAAGAAAACAAACAATCCACAAACTATATTTGTGAAGAATAAACATGAATCAACAGTGAAATCAAAAGTCGATGTTTGTTCAAAAGATAATCCTTCAGATCGAAGATTATCATACAAAATTGTAAGAGTTCCAAAAACACAACACAATGCACTTAATACAAAACAATACCCAGTTAGTAAACCAAAGGTACTTACTTGTCAGTATCGCAGAACGAGCTTAATAAAAAAACGTTCGAATCAGTTTGTAAGTTTAGCAGAAGCAATTTCCAAGTTCCAAACTGAAACGCCTGAAAGATTTCGTACTCTTAATAACAGAACTATGAAACCTGGTCCATTAATGAAGTTAAAACAATCACCACTGAAGCTCACTTATCCAGTTTCTCCTGCACTGAGGTGCAAACAGAGAATAAGAACAGCTAATGCTTTGAATCAGCAAGAGAGGGAGAAATTGGAGCTTGAAAATATGAAGAAACGTCAAATTAAAGCGAATCCCGTACCAGTTAATATATTAAAGGGCCCGACATTATTAAAAAAAGTGCCTAAAAAACCAGCTACAATTACGGAAGAGTTTCATTTAACTCAATCTAAAAAAATACATCACACAACAAATCCATCTGTAAACATACGACAGAATATGAATGCTAAGGAACATCAAAAAACTGTATCTACTAGTTCTTCAAGTGTTTCTTGTAAAAAGGCAAATAGTTTTGAATCTGAGGTAAAGGCTGCTGTGAGAGACGAATTTGAATTTCGCAATAAGGAGTTTCAATTGAAGAAACAAGAAAAACTGAGAAATTTATGTGTTCAGGAAAGTGATAAAATTAAGACGCAGTTCCATGCGAGACCTGCTCCAAAATTTTCAAAGTCAACAAGTGCAGTTAAAGACCAGAAACAGAAAAGAAATGTTATTACACATTCATCTAGTTTAGAAGAAAGAAACAGATTTGTTGCTAAAAAGAACGAAAACTGTCCTGGACCTGTTAAACAATTTGAAAGGCTGGGAACTACTAAAATACTCAATACCAATTCTATTCCATGTTTTATTCGTGGTTCAGAGAAAGAAAATATACGAAACAAAGGATATAGTTCCAAGGCACTTGAAACAAGACAAACAAAAAGTTTCAGTGACGGAGAGAATAAACAGTCTCGTATTATAAACAATACTATAGCATGTTTAAGCACAAAGAAGAAACAGACAGTAAACCAGCAAACTGTGAATCGCCGTGATAAACTTCAAAATGAAATTTGTATGCCTTTCATAGATATTAAGAATAAAAAATTAAATGATGCCCAGAATAAGGTTGATAAGCTTAAAGTGAATATGAAAAAAAAAGTTCAAGAGAGAAACGAATTCGATGACATGATAAAGAAAAGGGAGCAAGAATTCAAAGCAAAGAAATTACAGGAAGAGAAATGCAGATTGTTAGAACAAAAAATGGAAAAATTGAAGTTGCGCAAAATGACAGAAGTGAAAGCTAAACCAATGCCAATTTATAAACCTATGGTTATTGCAAAATCAACCAAGCCTGTAACCAATCCACAAAGTCCTGCACTGGGAATCAGAAACAAAGCAAAGAGCGTTTGTCAATTTTAATCAACATACAAAATACAAGTTAATTATATAATGACTATATGTAAGTAATATGATATATGTTAGATAACATTTCTTTTCTATGTAAAAAATATTCAACTTTTACTATAAGTATCATAATAAAGTAATTTTTTAACGAAAAATGGTGCAATCAAGTTCTAAATATTAATGAAAAATTGCATTTCTTTTTGTCGTATGCAATCTAAAACTGAAAACTTTTTGCGCGTTTAAATAATTTTAAAAAAAAGCATCGATTAAAAAGAAAATGGAAAGATCTATACATATTTATACTTAGAAACGACAATTTAATCTCATTAAATATGTAATAATTCGTTATATATTCGACGTTATGACTAGTGATAGCTGAATACGATACAAGTAAGGTCTTTTATTTTGATCTTTTCAGGTTGTTTGATTATTTTTAAGATGTAGCCCTTAGTGACAGGGATGTAAATGATTGTTGTAGTATTTTTTTTTTTTTTTGTATCACATAAAATATATAAATATATATATAATAATAAATTTATATACCAAGAATATTATATAGCTTCAACAACATAGTTTAATTTATTTCGAATGTACAAAGACCACACTATCATACATCTACTTTCTTTTACATCGCATCAGTCAGAAGAATAAAAAGTATCAGTTCTGAATACAATTCAATTGATTAGAAATACTATTGTTAAAAACTTGAACACCATCATTGATTCAGACATATAATCGGCAAAATTTTTTCTTTTGTCAATTTTAGATGTTCTAGTGAAATTTTTTTTTTATCTTTATCGCGTTCTATTCAGTATACAAATGCTAACATCGATGTTTTAGATACGTGAGGTATGATATAAAAAATTAAAAACTTTATCAAGATTCCATAGTAGACGATCGATAGTAGAAAATGAATATCGTAGGCTGGTTGCATCCATTCGAAATTCTAGCTTTAACTATAACACGTTTCTCGTAGGAGTTATAAATATCTTGTATCTTCAGAAATATCGTTTATAAATTATTCGATGTAACACAAAAATTACACTTATCGACGTACGCTCTGTTTTAAGTGACTCGTATATCATAAATTATAGTAAACAATTATTATACGGTTAATTACCTTCAAGTTTCTATAGAAGTTGTTGCAACGAACAAAAACTAAAATAATATGAAAGATCGTGCCTCAAAAAATAAAGGCAGAGAAAATATTCAATTGCATTTATAATACACGAGTCAGAATATTTTTTCCTTTAAATAATACACATGTTACGAATCGATTTCACAACTGTTTGCAAAATTCACGAAAACATATTCGGTGTTCGAAATGCATTGAAAAAATTGTTATTTCTTTTTCTTCATTTTTTTTCTCTTTTTGTTATTTTACTAGGAAATGCAGGAAGTAATTGTTAGTGTTAAAAAAAAAAAAAGAAAATGGAAGAAAAGAACGTGTTGAATATAAAACAACGATCTCTTTTCACAGCAGTTTAGCGTATAATTAAAGTATAGGATCCCCAAAGACCATTGCATGGTAGTGGTTATTTTGGGATGCTATACTTTTGTATGCGATATTTTACAATTAAAAATCAATTAAAATCGTGGTAAAATCCGCGCAACGATCACTACTATATGTACGTGCTCCGTTCGCATAAATTATATTTCAATGCGTTAAGTAGTATCTTGTGTTGTGTGAGGCAACATCGGCACACGATTCTCAATGAATTGAAAAATGGCAGACTCATTGTACAGATCCCAAAAAATCGTCCCGTCAAAGCTCCTTTAACAGGGCGGATTTCGCGTTTTTAAGCTTATCCAATCGCCTTTGTAAATGAGAGTTTGCTGTTTCCAATTCTTCCACGCGACCTTGAGTTTCCCTGACCTGTAAGAAAATGATTATTTTCAATTCATTTGGCACACATGTTCAAATGCAAAGCGCAGAACTTCTACTTACTTCTCTTTGTAATTTTCTCTTTTCTACTTTCAATTCATCCTCCGCTTTTTCAGATGCCTCCGCTGCCGACTTGTAACGTATTACTTGACTTTCTAGCCTGGCTACGGTGGCTTGCAAAGTGGACATGTCCTGTTCAGCTTTTTGAAGCTTGAACTTGTAATCGGCCAGAAGCTTGTTTGCTTCTCGTTGCACATCTTCAGAGTCTGATAAACAGCCTAGAAAAGATAGTTATCGCGTTCAAAAAAGATAAAAAAAATTTTACATTTCTAGGACCAGCGTATTTTGCAATGCCTTGCAGGCATACCTAATACTGAACCAGGTGATTTTTCGGACCTAATACGATTTCTTGTCTCCTCTAGTTCCAGTCTGAGATGTCGTATCTCATCTTGCAATTCTTTTTTTTCAGAAGCAAATTTTCTCAGTCGGACATCTATAATTTATCATAAAACACCCTGTTATATATCCTCTTACTTTTAAAAAATACTTCGTCTTCTATAATTGCATACCTAGCGAACCCTTTCCAGCGTTTTGCAATAATTCTGCTGCTTCTGCACTGACTAGTACTCTTCGTCTTGGGCGTGGGCCATTTTCAATTTCGGTATCTTCGTTTTCACTTCCCTCATCGTCGATAATAACTAAACCGTTTTCCTAAAGTAATTTCATTCAGTTTTGAATTATAAAGCTACGGACGACAAACGGCATATCTGTATCTGTTTAAATTTGCTATTTACTTACTTGTATAAGCGTATCTCTTTCTACTAGTTGTGCATGGCATACGTCTAACTCGTCTTTCAATGTTTGACTGAGTCTTTTCAACTGTTCGGACTCCCGATTCTTCTCTCTAAGCTCCCTACGAAGTTGTGCAACCGTTTCTTCCAATTCTTCCAATTTATCTTTCAATAAATCGACTTGATAAGCATACGAAGATTTTTCATTGTCTAACTGAGCATTGGCTATCATCGCCTTTCTAAATTTTTCCTCGAATTCTTTCAATTCTAACTGCAAAGGAATAATTCAAACTTTTAAGTGATATTTTACATTTGTAATATAAATTTCAAGATAAAAAGATGTTAGTACCCTGAGATCTCTGCTTAGGCCAGCATCCTCCAGTGAATCTTCAGAAGATCTCCGACTGGATTGGAAATTATTAGAATTCGTAAGGAGACGCGACGTCCTTACAGAGTCGGGAGTCACTCTCATCGTTCTATTCACGTCGGCTGAAAAATCGATAGCAAGGCATTTTACTTCGTTTCTTTCATTCGAGTCGAACTTTTCAAATAAATACCTGAACACATGTCGTAAACCCTATCTGCATTCTCCTCCGCCTCTTTTTGTTGCCTTTCTAACTCCCGCATTCGTATTTCTCTAGCTTCCGCTCTTGCCTGTCTTCTGGCGGCTAATCTAGCTTCTGCCTGAAAGTATGTACGGAAAATCCATCCTGTTACCAAAAACATAGTTTCACATTCAATTTATTATTAACACATCGACACATGATATAGAAACACTGTCATAAATGTTAGATACCATGACATTTATTAGAGTTTATATAACAATAACATGCAAGATCCAATATCACTTTGGATCAACAGATACTTACTTTAATTTAGCCACAATCAAAAGGTACATCAATTAAATTAACAATGCATAGTATAATGAATGCATAGCACATACAATATCTCACTCACGTATGACTTACTAATGTACTAACTGTTTACGTTTAAAGATAAACTTATCAAGGAAGATATAACTTCACTTGTTACAAGCATGCACACAATTATGTACCGAAGGTCAGCAACACTTATAGCAACACTTATAGCAACATTTACTAATACCATTACTTGTCAAATATAGTTCTTACAGAATACAACAAATTTGAAATTCTTGACGTTGACCTTTTTTTGTTTTATTTTGGCAAATATCATCCCATGCTGCTCTCATAAAATAATCAAGCCATACCTCCTTGGCTATCTGATCCAGAGCCTGATCCTCTGCTGAATGTCGTGCGGTTGTCCGCCTACGTCCAGCTATAGCAGACTCCATTTTTCAGTATTCAGTGACTTAGTATCAGTACTTTGCTCAAGTATCAGGCAGACTTGTGCTAAGTGGATCCACGTCCTTCACCGTATAAGAAGACAAACCACCACACTAAAGGACAAAGGGACAATAGGCTAGAGCTAGAAATATGTGAGCGTGACTTTAAAAAAAGCATAATTAACGTACGCATTACGACCAAAAGAAGAAATGGGTGAATGACGTTTGCAACGCGACCAGACATAAACGAAGCGTTAAAACGTTAAAACATTGCACACTCAAGAACTTATTTCAAACGGCAACTCATTCTGATAACGTTCTCAGCCTTTGTCGGGGGCAATTTAGCTGCGCTGTAGATTGTTGGTAATTACGCATTATGAAAAAAAAAAAAAAAAATATGATTTGTACGTGGTGAACGGCGAGAATAATTGGGACGGTTATCAGTTCGAATATTTGAAACGGCTCGAGGGAGAGTCGATGAAAATCGACGAAATCTCGGAAAACATGCGAGAACCGGGGATTAGGTTCTTCGAGGCTTGAATCTACCGGAGGGGAAGCTTTGTACTTTTTCTTTTTTCGCGAGTTATAGGTTAACAGTGCCCGGCGACATGTGAGGGCACGTTCGAAATAGAACCGTAAAAAAAGTATCTGGCACAGGTGGAACACAGTTTCTTTTCGCCAGTTCCGACGTTACAACGTTCTCACGCTAAGAATAACAACGACACAGTCTTCTTCAGGACGGTCTGATCGTGCGTTCATTCGGATCACCGTTTTTTACCGTGGTGGTAACGCGACAAACACGACTCGCCCACAAGAGAAAAGATCGCGTTTGCCGATCGGATATCATTGAGGACGACATCGACGAACGAATCACGGAGGGGACACAGGATCACACGGATCTAGAACAAAAACGACGTAAAGAATCTGGCAATCTCGAGCTGAGTAACGTTCGACGATATATATTAAATAGACATGCACACCCACACATCACGTCAGGCCAAATACATGCAAATAAGACCTTACTGTAGTCGTCGATCGTCTTTTTCTCTCTCTCTCTCTCTCTCTCCCTCTTTCTTTCTCTCTCTGTCCGTCTGTCCGTCTTTCTTTCTCTCTCTCTCTCTCTCTCTCTCTGTCTCTTTCCCTCTTTCGATTTCTTTTCTTTTCCTTTTTTTTTCTCCTACGCAATTTCTTAACAAACGTTAAAAATCCCAAAGGTATAAAGGAACTTACGATGCGAGGAACGCTGTCAGCCAGCGGATAGGCGCATTTTTCCCTCAAAGATTCGCCGCACGCGAAAATAAACCGCGGAGGACACTATAAATACAATCGATGAAAATCGGACGAACGAGCCACGATGACCATCTGCGGCCAGGGAATTAACACAATGCGGTTCCCGTACGGTCTCGGGGCCGATCACCGTCTCGTGGAACGATCCGCCGATTATCGGTGCGAACTGCGCTCACGCGAGCTCCCGCGGACGAAACCTTTTTCTACCTCCTACTGGCGAGAGCTCGTGAAAACAGTGCGTACAGCCGCACTTAAATATAGCGGAAGACACATTTTTCGATCGACTGACCAGAACGGCGATGCATGCGAATGCAAAAGCGCACTGTGCGCCGCGCCTCGAACAACCGAAATTGGTGGAGTCATCTGTGCACCGCAGTGCCAACGCCGTTGCTCGTCATCGGCAATACAGTCCCTTGCAAATCGTAATCATCGCTTATCTTCCAACGATGATTACCTGGGATTGCTTGGGCTGATACGTGAAAGATAAAATCCTATTCACACACGGTTGGTGGGATAAATTTAATCTTATCTTTTGTATGTACATATGTGTGTACCGTGCGACGCGCCTTTAAATGACTGAACTTACGCATATCAAATAAACATTTGGAGTTGCGTAAAAGAAAAAGCGATCCGAAAGGTTTTCCGATATAAAGATTTTGGTTTAAATTCTTTTTATAAAGCACCTAAGGCGATTTGAAAAGTTAAAGGAGATCCTTTATGGATGGGAAGTAAACCGGTCGGTAAAATAAATCAGCGATTTCGGCGTCGCCGCTTGAAAACGAGCCTGCAGCCAAGTGCAACAGATAGACTAACACGGATTTGAGTTCTATTCTTTTTTTCTTTTTTTCCCGTCTATATAGTCGATGCGTTTAATACACACGGCCTATGTTCTCGTATCTTAACCTCACTTGAATTTGCGATGTGGCACTTGGTGTTTTAACATATTTCGCACATTTGCTCGCGAGGGATCGATTTGATTTAAATAAATAATGGTCACAGCGTAGTGTCACAGTAACAAACGTGCTTGGGTCAAAAAGGAGCGAAATCTTTCGATGGATATGATTGTATATACTTAGCGAATAAAAAAAAAAGAAGAAAAGAAAATGAGAGTTTCGTTATTACTGATTTTTCGAATTTTGTACTTTTTCAATGTATACGATGCCGCGAATGCTTGGGACAATGATGAATTGGAGGTGTTCGACGTCGTCGAGGAAGTCAACCAAAATTTCTACGAAGTCCTTGGTGTTCCACAGGTTTCTCTCTCGTTTCTTATTACTTTCGTCCGCGTGATAAGTAAATGAATTCATTGAATGATAAGCGAATGCACTTTTCAGAGCGCGAACGCTTCGGAGATTAAGAAAGCTTTCAGACGTTTGTCACTGCAATTACATCCGGATAAAAATCCTGCAGAAGACGCAGAGCAACAGTTCAGAAAAGTAAGTTGTAGACTTATGTCATAATTTCGAAACGAATATTCTTTTCTAACGAATGTCATTTGCAGTTGGTTGCTGTCTACGATGTCTTGAAGGATCCTGGAAAACGTCAGCGGTATGACAACGTGTTGATCAACGGATTACCAAACTGGCGATCAGCCGTGTATTATTACCGCCACGTGCGGAAAATGGGACTTCTAGAATTAGGGATAATTTTGTTTCTACTGATTACTGTCGGACAATATGTAGTCTCGTGGGCTGCATATTTCGAGAAGAGATACACATATGTACGTAAGAAAGGTTGTTCAGAAGTAATAGGAAAAATAAATTGCTCTGTCAGTTTGTCGTAATGCACGTTGCAGGAGCAAGTTTTAGGCAGTAAACTTCAAAAGATGCAAAAGAAGAATAAGAAGGGAAAGATGGACGTGCCAGACTTAGCGGATATTTTGGAGAAAATTCCGACGCCAACTATTTGGAACACTCTCCCATTTCAATTTCCAAGATGGATAATTGCCTTTACGTTGTCCATACCTGAAATTGTTCGTGTCATGAATTGTATACTAGAAGAGAGGAGACGTAGAAAGAAACAGAAGGAGGAAGAGGCATTGTGAGTGGAACAACATTTGATGTCTGACTGAAACGTATCTTTCATTGTTAGAGATTTTCCATTCATTGGGTATGCTTAGAATTTCTCTACGATCTGTTCTAGGATACAGGAAAATGAACAACCAGAACCCGAATTCACGTCTCGTACAAGGAGACGCAGGACTGGTTTCACGCCACAAGAAAGGAGTGGCAATGGCGTGAAAGAAATGTCGAAGAAGGACCAGATAAATCATATTTACCAAAAACCTGCTGTTTCTGGGGGATTGTGGACGGACGATGATATATTAGAATTAATAAAACTCGTAAAGAAATATCCTAGTGGTACATCAGAGAGATGGGATAAGATTGCGGACGCAATGAATCGTACAGTCGCCGAAGTTACACACATGGCGAAAAAGGTTGCTCTCTCATCTGTACTAGTTCTATATTGATTTTAATTGTAATTTCTATTTTGACAAATAATTTTTTTTTATGTTTGCTAGATAAAAGACGAAGGATTAAAACCCGGCTCGCCTGCAGAGGAGAATGTGGTGGAAGAACGTTCAAAAAAAACGAAGACACGTGCCGAGAACGTAGAGAATATTAGTGAGTGGAGTCAAGAGCAACAAAGAGCTCTAGAAGCGGCTCTTATAAAATATCCCAAAGGTACATCTGCAGATAGATGGGAAAAAATCGCAAATTGCGTTGAAGGGAAGAGCAAGGTATTGGTATAGATATTTTACATCGCATTTCTTTTTTTCAAGTATATTTGTTATAATTGATATAATGTTCTAAAGGATGAATGCCAAGTAAGGTATAGACAGTTGGTGGAATTAGTCAAAAAGAAACAGCATACTCAATAGTCTGCCATGTACAAGATGTTCCTTCAACAAGAGTGTAGTTCAATATAAATCGAATCAATCCAAACGAGAAAACGCAAAGAAAAAACATAATTTTCAATCTTAAGATGAAATATATTTCACGGCTGTTATACAAGGTGTTTATAAGGTGAATTAAAAATTACTTAAAAGTACTCTTATACAAAGGAGGTATGTTGAGAGTAATTAAGAGAAAAAGAAAACTTTATACGTAAGAAAGAACAATTATTTCTACATCATTTTATTATTAAATGTTTGTGGAGAATGTATTTATTTAATAAATTTAATAATTAATTCAGAGGAAAAGACTGACAAAAGATATGATAATTAAATACTTTCCTGTTCTCTGAGACTGATACACTGTATCGTTTTAGCTTCGAAAACAAATTGTAAAAAATAATCATGCCGAATATATATAACACATTTCTTGTATTATTAATATAATTCACGTATATAGATGAACTATATTAAGTTAATCGATATTAGACTCGGAAAACTAAGTAACTTGTATTGTACTTGTTATTATCAGTACAAACAAATTCCGTCTTAAATATTTTTCGAGATCTAATGCAAAAATTATACTTTAAAATAAAAAAACAGTGGGTTCTGTCTCTTGCATTCTCAGTGTAAATATTTAAAAGGCTATAAATTTGCAATGAATGAAGCAACTACCCACGAATTATTGTGTATAATTTGTCTTACTTAAGAAATCATAAATATACATATAAACACGAAGAACTAATATTATGATTTCAACATGTATTTTATAATTATCAAAATGAAAAGCAACGTTTTATGTAATTAATGTTTAATTTTGTATTATACGCGATGAAATGAAGAAAACAACTAGTATATCCGAACTATTTATTGGTGTTAGTTCTTAAATAATGACTGTACAAAATACTATTTACAAATTGTATAATAAACGTTTTAATTACGTCTTCTTCGAACTCTTGATATTCGCCAAGCGTTCGGCTCTTCGTACTTGTTATAAAGCGGTTCTAATCTTTGATTCTTCTTGAATTTGCTAAGTTTCGTTGGATCGCTAAATTTGAAAAATGCTGGTGCAAATTCTACCAACCATTTCGGATCTATGGTTGTAACTTCTCTCATGTATTCTTTCGTTGTTTGGACCAATTCGTGATAAATCACCTATTAAAAGATGAAAGAAGAAATTGGTTACGTATACTTTTTATAATAACTACGTTTTTAATCTTCAATAACTTACCCATTCCGGTTGTCTGTTGAATAAAGCGCTACTTGGATGAATGTAGACAACTTGACTGTCTACCAAAGTTCTGTATCCTTCTTGAGGATCTTTCTTCGCGGCATTTCTGAAGAAACCAGAACAGACAGCTTTCTGAATTCTTACGGTATTTTTACCGGCAGATACTACGTCCAATTTGTGTCTGATAAAATAAAATATATGATTAGTTCCTCTTATTAGATATTAGAAAATTGTATTTATAAATAAACTGATAATTACCTGTCCATTATACCTAACAGTTGCTTTCGAACATCCTGAGCGCGTTTTAAAGTTCTAATTTGGACAAAATTTTCATAACACCACGCGTTGCTAAATTTATTATTTCTCCAAGAATTATAAACTGCCAACAGAGTTAAGTGATCACCTTCCGGTTGATTGAATTTGGCTTTCTTTTGATCTGCTAAAGCTTGTTTGTCTTTCGGTCTAGAAAAATTACAAAAATTAAATGTACATTCGCAGTTTCCATGTGATGTCATTTCTTACCTATAGAAGACGTTCTGCACGGACAACATGCTGACAATTGTCAATATTTCATCAGAACATTGTAGATGTACGCTCATGATGAGCATTTTGGATAAATTAGGTTCTAGAGGAAATTCTGCCATCCTCCTTCCGAGTCTGGTCAATAAACCTTCGTTATCTAATGCACTTAAACTGTGCAAAGACTCTAAAGCCATTATCAGAGATTCCACAGGTGGGGCATCCATGAAATCAAAGTGTAACAAATCATTGATCCCCATAGTCTTTAGTTGCAATACTGTATTTGCTAAATTAGTACGTTGGATTTCTGGAACTGGCGTAGGGAGCATTTCATCCCTAAAAAGAATTTGAAATTTATGTTATAATTAATATGTTATAATTTGTATATCGCATTTTTGTGAATTTCAAATCGAGTCTACCTATATGCCCTTTCGGTATAAAGTCTATAACATTTTCCTGGGCCAGTTCTTCCAGCCCTTCCAGCCCTTTGTTTTGCAGCTGCTTGACTTATTGGTGTTACTATAAGACTGTCCATTCCAGTTTTTGAATTGTACACCTTTTGTTTTACAAATCCTGGATCAACTACGTAATAAATTCCATCGATAGTCAAACTCGTTTCTGCAATATTGGTAGCTATTACCACTTTTCTGGAACCAGGTGGGGCTGGTTCGAATATTCTGGTTTGCATCTCCGAAGGGAGTGCTGAATATACGGGCAGTATAATTAACTCAGGTACATCAGGACCCAAAGATTTCATACGTTCGTATAAAATTTCGCAAGCTGTGTCAATTTCCTCTTGACCAGTCAGAAATAGGAGTATGTCTCCTGGAGGTTCTCTTAAGTGTATCTGCATTACTGTTATCAATGCAGCATCCAGATAATCTGTTTCTGGTTCTTTGGTGTACATGACCTGTTTAAAATAAAAATAATTTTAATTAATACTTTTGATTATAAAGAGTTTAGTTATAGACGTATATTTAAATGACTTACTTCAACTTCGAATGTTCTACCAGGGATAGTGAAAATGGGTGCTTCAAAGAAATACTGTGAAAATTTTACAGCATCCAGAGTGGCACTTGTAACAATTAGTTTTAAATCCGGTCTTCTACCTACTGCTTGTTTTAACAATCCAAAAAGAACATCCGTATGAATGGTGCGTTCATGTGCTTCGTCTAACATAATTACGGAGTACGTCTTCAAATCAAGATCCATGAGACATTCTCTTAGCAACATACCGTCCGTCATATACCTGCAAAATTGGACATCAATATTAAACAATCGTATCTATAAAATTAAGTAATGTATTACTTACTTTATACTAGTTTCTGGCCCAGTGCAGTCTTCAAAACGAATTGTGTAGCCAACTTCCTGCCCTAAACGACAACCAAACTCTTCCGCTACTCTTTTGGCGACCGACATGGCAGCTACTCTTCTGGGCTGAGTACAGCCGATTTTTCCACGGGCCGTGAATCCTGCTTCTGCTAAATATTGTGTAATTTGCGTAGTTTTTCCTGATCCTGTTTCACCAATTACAATTAAAATTTGATTATCTGTCACAGCTTTAACTAAATCGTCTCTGAGTTTGTAAATCGGCAAATTCTGACGCTGTTCGAGGAGAGTTAAATTTGTTTTCTTTCCAAAGGAAGATTTTTTTCCTCCTATTACGTGCTTTTTCCATTCAGGTAGATCTTGAGTTTGAAGACCGATTCCACGCATATTCGCAGCTAGAGTTCTACTTTCAGCTGTACAAAAACATATTCGTATATAGTGTTATTTATAATATCTTTTATTAAGAAATTTTTCAAAAATATGTAGAAATGTATTAGTTACCTTCTGGTAGAGGATCAATCCAATTTTTATTCAGACCTGTTGGAACAGAATCCATTTCCTGTTCTCGTTGCAACATCTTCTGCTCCCTTCTTTCCTTTGCTAAAGCACTTTGCATCATTGCAGCTTGTGCTAAAGAACCATCAGGATTTTTTACTATACGAACGGGACTTAGGTCTCCAAGAGCTCTTCCATGGCCGTGTAAAAATGGTGGTTCTTCTTCCACTAACTCTATTTCAACATCTTCTTCCTCATCATCTTCCCGTGGAAGAATTCCGGTTTCCATATCGAATTCTGGTAATTCACTCCTGTAGGAAGAAATAAAATTCAAATAATGAAATTACTACATTATGAAATTTAATTATTTAGACAACTATATAATAATACCTGTCGATACAAGATGCAGCAAGCATCTGTTTAATCTCCCATTTTTCGGGTGAGGACAATCTCTGCACGCGTTTTCTAGAATAAGTTTCGTCCTCGTCCCAATTACCCTGGAGTTCTAATAAGGAAGTAGGTCTATCTGGATTTCTCAAATGCTTCTCATCTTCTTCGGTTTTGGTAACAACCACAACAGGATTCAGATCCCTACCAGTTTCTTGATCGACGTCTTTCATGCTTAAAGAAACCTATTAAAATTATATATATATATATATATATATATATATATATATATATATATGTAAAACTTGAATCAATTTAGATACATACTTTATTTTAAAAGTTTGCATACCTTTTGTCCACCAATGTTTAGGACTTTTACGAGCACTTTCTGTCCTCTAGATACTACGTCACTTGCACTGGCGACTCTTCCTTCTCTTCTTAATTGTGAGATATGAACAAGCCCTTCCCACCTTCGTTTTAAACCTTCCAATTGAACAAAACAACCAAAAGGTACGATATTAGCTACTTTTCCTGAATAAATCTTTCCTACTTCTGGATCCATGGAAAGTTCCTCTATAGACCGCGATCTGGATCGCTCGGATTTATTAAAATATTTGTCTCTATGAAATTTTCTGTCTCGTGATCTAGACCTTCTACGATCTCTGGACCTGTGGCGTCTTCTGTCTCTGGATCTTGAGCGATCTCTTGATCTTGAACGAGATCTAGATCTATGTCTTCTATCTCTGTGACCTGATGAACGTGATCTATGTCTTCTTCTATCCCTTGATCTACTTCTTCTTGTGTGTCTGCTTTTCTTATCATTATTGTCACTTGATTGATTTTCCTTTTTGCTATCTTCTTTATTAGATTTTTTTGATGGTGCAAGTTCTTCCAAACTTGCCATAGCACTGTTGACTATATCATCATCTTTGAGTTCTTTGTCATTCATAACATTTGGCTCCTCATTTGGTAGTGCCAGTGCAGGGAATTTTTGAGCTAATTCATCTTGTTTTGTTACAGGTTTTGAAGATTTTTCCTCTAGCTTGGTTGGTTTCATATGCTGTATTATTCTCAACAAGTTAGCCATAAAAGATTCCTAAATGAACAATTCAATGTTGAACTTAAATAGAACAGAAGTACAAGATACAAATAAGTACAAGAGGATATATAAATTACTTACAGAGAATTCCGCGCCATTTTCAATAAGGACTTTTTTAAATTTATCAAACGTATTATTTTTCTCTGCTAAATGGATTATGAATTCAGCTGAAAAGAGGAAATATAATCAATAAGAAAATGTAAACAATAAGGTAATTTGAAAGAATTGAAACATGTGTATATAAGACGTATAGGTTATGGTAGCATCAGAATAAAATCTGTGTTATTATAGAAATAAAAATAATATTTTATACCTAAATCTTTGTCATTCAGCCCCAAATGATTTTCTAGTTCTGTGCAGATCTTTGAAACCAAAGACAGATGCTCGAGCTTTGCAACTTCGTCCATTTTTGTGCTTCAACTACATACGCAAGTATTCGAAACTTACACATAAATACATAATATTGGAAATGTTGATCCAAATGGTTTCTTCATAAATTTGAAATCAATGTACAAATGTTATAAAACACAAGATTTGCTATACAAGAGCTACACAAAGGTTATAAAAACATTTGTATAGAATATTATTATGTTGAAATTACATTGTTATTATGTAGAAAATGATTTTAACATGTGTTAGTAATAAAGAAAATAACTTTAACGTATGTTAGTAATGAAATAATTTTGTTGGAGGAAATAACCATAGCATGTGTTAGTAACAAAATAACAGCTGCAAAAAAAGTAACCTCATTAAATTTTATTATGTACCTATTAACAATGCTATTAATTAATAACAAAGTAAAAAATAATGCTCTTATTTAATTTCAATTGACAATTTATTTTTTGAAAATTAATATAATTTCTATTTCAAGTTACTGATTATTAATGATTTTTAATATATATTTATAGTAGATATTTATTTCTAATAAGACATATTAATAGGACAGGAAAATTTATTCATTTTTTCTATTGATTAATGAATTTTAATTAATAAAATATGTTTATTAATTGTTTATTAATTAATGAATAATTAAATAATATGCTATAATGGTATTTTTATTAATAATTCTATTAAATAGACAAATATACATACATATATTTTCCACATTAAGAATATAATTTTTTCATAATTACTTGAGAATATTGTGCTTAATTATGTTTTCTATTCGTTAATTTAATCAATTTGACTATTTAATTAGATCAAATTAGCGCGCGTTTGTATAAACGAAATTTACGCGCTCTTATTGGTTTAGAATTATTGTAAGTCACCATTGCGCGTAACATTAGAGGGAGACGTGTGGCGCGGCGTGGCATTGTACTTTTGACATTCGTACGGGGAAGATGTGTCGGGTCACCCCATTATTATTAACTGTGCAATATATACTTTTATTTCGACTTTGTCATCATTTCTACACTTCTATCAACTTCATTTCATTAGTATGTCTTTATTTAATCACTTATTAATTACCATTTTATTAAAATTAAGTAGTTTTTCGGAATATTTTTATTGTTTCGTCCTTGACGTACGTGCCAGGACGGACGCCGGCTCATATTATAATTCATATTACATTTTGAGACTTTTTATTACTATTTTATTTTAATATAATTGGTTTAATTGTTATAAATTATTGGTTTCTCATATATTTATTTGAAATTGTTGGTTTTCCTTTGCACAGATTATTAGCTGGTTACAAGGTTGAAGGTATAGGGGTTCACAGCACAAACGCCACGGACGATTAATAACCGTTAATTCCAGTTGATCCAAAATGGACGGCACAAACGACTGACGATCAACTTGCTGAATTTTTATGCAGATTTTATAACAATTAAATTATTGTAACAAAAGCAGACGTATGTACTCATTCATTTTTTTCTTTTTATTGGTTTAATGGTAACATATATTTGCTGTGCAACTCAAATACAATTCATAATTTTCGAATCTAATCTACAACTTGTAATACGAATCTTATTGTGCATTTATAAATTTTTCTGTGTGAGAAACTTAAAAAATAATCTTTATTCATAAAATCAGAGTAACAGACACCTTCGAATATGTTTCGAGTTTTGTTGCATAGCTGAATGCAATTTTTGATTTATTACAAATATCGAATAATTATAAAATTCTTCCAAATTGATTTTATTTTCGAACATTAGTATAATATTATGAACATTTTTGTTAATAAATATATATTAATAGATTTTAAAATATTTTTATTAATAAATATTTATTACAATTACAAAATATTTATAACAAAACAATAAGTATTTATTACAATAAAAAAATATCTTACAATGCATAAATAATATTTGAAATATTACACAAATGTTGCATTTTCTTATCATAATATTTGTTCATTAATAAAAATGAATAGTAACTGATTTAATTATTGTAAATTATTGTTATTGTTGTTAGAATATAAAGTCAATAATTAATAGATACGTTTTGAAAAACAACAGTATTTCCTGAACAAACGCTCCCTTTCCCCTACTAACATAGCTTCTTTTCAGAGATTGTGACCGCGCGCAATGCGGCCAATAGAGTCAGTGTTTGTCGCGTAACATTTTTAGTATTTTTCACAGCAACACAGCTCTTAGTAATTATAAATTCAATTATAAGTTGTTCCCGAAATTAGAATCATTGTTTGTTCGCCGATTGTTATTTGAACGCGCGCGTTGATAGTCTTTTATTTTCCTTTTTTTTTGTATAAGTGTGTGTGTTATATTTTAAATATTCGTCTCGGTACTAGAGTCAGTGCTTCTCTCAAGAGGATACAGCCTCTCCGGGAGCCAAAAATAGTAAGTGTCTTTGTACATCTTATTAAAAAATAAAAGCAATAAATAACATAAGAAGTTTTTAATTGTAATATTCCTCTTTTTTTCGTTAAAGATATTTCAAACTTTTGCTTTTTCCTATTTTCTGGGGAGAATGTAGCAGTGCTCCAAAAATCTACAACGTAAGTGTATAGTACTTTAATCAATTAATTTTTTATACATATTTTGTTTACATTATTATTAATTAAGAAATAAATTTTGTCCACATTAGGACCTGCACTTCTATCATGGGATAGAACTTTGCGATGACAATCTTGGTGCTTTGGAAGCCAAAATTGTAAATATTTCTGAATATTATACTTTAATTAATTATATTTTGTGCTTATATGCATTGCTCGTTATTTTGTTTTATCTCATATTTTACAATGTTACAGATTTTTCATAACTGGCATTTCTACCATGGGATCAATTCTTCTTGGTGACAGTCTTCAAGATGACTTTCCACGGGCTATCACAGCATCGCAGCATCGATTACTACATTCCTCACATCTAATTGTGAGTCGCATGCCTTTTGGTTCCTCTGGTCACTCAATCATGTCGTAGGATGAAAGATCCGAATCGACACGGGTGATTGGTTGTATTACGTAGAATTTTTTGCGAGCATAGTGACTGCGGGTATCTGTTATACCCGTGAGTGATAATATTTTTTTTTTCTGTGTATTATATTAGTTCAGGATAGATCTTCTTGCACATCGCGTTTCTTTTTTTACATTAATAATATGATATTGACATTTTAAATAACATTAATACAATGATATTATACTAACAATAAGACTTAATTTGAACACGTACGAATGTTTTTCGAAATCAAANCGATTATTTTCAGTATTTTTTTTATCATGAATTATTAAAAATTCTTGATTAAAATGAAAATTAAAATTTGTTGCATTTTGTCTTACTTAAAGTTGTGTAAGAATTGTTTTCATCTAGAAATAGTTATTATTTTCACTGAATTTGCTTCAATAATTAGCGTTGCGATATATTCCATCGGATCTTTTAATTATTTTTCTAATTAGTGTTGCGTTAACGAATGATCGCGTTTGTACACGTAGTGTTGCGTTTATGAAATGCCTAAACTTCTTCCACTGGAGTTGTGGAAGTACCTGGAATCCTGTACCTGATTATCTGATGCAGCCAAATCAGTTGCATCTGCGTGCATCAGCAGCCTCGAATATGGCTGTACTTTTTTTTTTAAATAGTATTACTCCTTGTCTTGGAGTATGAATGCATAAATTAGTATTTATGTACTTTTGCGAATTTTTCATTTTTTCTTTTTTTTTTATTGATAACAAATTATATTTTCCTTTTCTTCTTTTTTTATTGTGTTGCAATCGTGAGTAAGCATTCTTCGCGATTTGCTTTGAATCATTTCAATTTTATAACTGGAATTTTAATTAGTTAGCAAAATAGAAAAGAATATTCCATTCACGGTTTGTTTTTCGCGATTGTATCGAGTGGATCGCCCTTCTGGCTATTGGATCTATTTCTTTTTCAGCATCCCTTAAAGCGTTTGTTAATGGAAATACTGTTGAGCACAACATTTTTTAAATGTTTATAAAATATTTTCGTATATTTCTTGAAACCATTATGACTATTCTAATTGATTACATACTTTCATATCAGCCTTAGCTCTTATGAATTAACTATATCTTGTAGACTTTTACTAATATTTTTTAGCTTGAACTTGTTTCAGGTACCATTGGAAAGGAGACCTATATCCCTTGGAAGAAAGACAGTATTCACAAATAATGTAATAATTAGAGATTTATTTTGATAGGAAATCTTTAGGTGCGTTATGTTGACAAACGTAATTAGATTTAGACAAAGGGCATTCTTGAATACAATTAAAGTTAGGTGGAATGTTTTAAAATCAGGTTATAGTTGTAGTTTGATAATCAGTTAGGTAATTAAATTGAAATTAAAATGAGTATTGGTAAGATAAAATCAAGATTTGTATAAAGTTATTTGTATTTTTGCGCCTCTCTTAGCTCGATAAAAGAGATTTCTTCTTTATCATAACAGTAAATTTGTTTGTTAGTAAATTGTCACAGAGAGGGCGCTTAAGAGCGTAGTTTGAACTGTTTTATCGACAGCAAAGATCCCACAAATTTCATTTTGCCGCCTTAAATTCATAAAGTTAGTCGAAGTGTAAGATTCGTAAAGTATGTTGCGTGATAATAAATTTAAATTATTTAAACTGAAGATTTTATGTAATTTAACATTCTTATAGTTAAACCAGTTTGTTCTGCGCCATATTGTTTCTTCAGATAACAAATTCTTTTATACAATTATTCCATTTTTTTCTAAATTATGGATTCAATATTATCAAAGGTTGTACTTTCTCCTCTCGATGATTGTAAATAATTAAATAAAATAGAAGTAACATCACACTTCATTAATGTAATGAAGAGTAACTGCATTTCTATTGACAGTCAACTGGTATCGTTCATTTATCTAGAATTTTTAGAAAATTAATTCGTGCTCAATAGCAGACGCATAGTGAATGTTGTATTTCGATCTATATAACCGAACTATGTTTTTACTCTCGCGTAGCTTGTTTACTTTATAATACTTTTCTTATAATCACAATTCGTCGTTTCAAGTATTTTCGTATTGTCCAATAAACGACAGTGATCTGTTTCCCCGTTCAAACTGAATACTTCATCGTGAATAACAATAGAATGGCAAAACGATGACATAATTCTTAAATTAAAATATCGAGCTACTTTTTAAAATCAATTGTAGAATCAAATTACATTATAATTCGTGCAGACTATTTTTTCTCTTTTTTTTTTTCTCTTTGTTCGCAACTGTATCCTATTTCGATTCTTTTTTATTTAGTTGTTTGATTCATCGTAACGAGGAACTTCGAAAATATCTCTTCACAAAAGATTTCCTGGTTTCGATCAATCAGAATTTCGGGATAGTTTATAAACCGTGATACTTATTTCAGGTTTAAAACCTGGTTTCCATTATTGACTCGAAGTTTAATCTACGTAAATTATGTATGAAACTATCCTGAATAGTAACAGTTAATCGTTGTCGTAATCGCCTTAATAAATGCGATCAATGGATGTCGAATATGGATTCGAATGAAATCGAATAATAGATGATTGCACTTTCGGACATCCATTCATTATATATATTCATTCAGTATGTTATATATATATATATATAAATAATATAGATGTAATAATAATTAATGAATGAATTAATATATACTATATATACTATATAGTACTATACTATATGTATATTAATGAATCAATAATATTTTCAATTTCAATGATGAAGATTCTCGATCGGTATACGTAGATCAAAGGATTCAGCCAGCTGCTGTGCCGAATTTTTTGAAATATCTCCATTGTGTTCGCCGCGACATCGCAAAAATAGCGAGACTTCAATAGGTTGTTTGTGTATTTCAGGATCTGAGTTCTAGTTCCTTTATCCATGATTTTCGAGGGTGTCGGTACTTCGCTGAGCGATTGTTGAAATAGACATGAATCGGGACGAGCATCGGTGAGAATATTTAAGTAGGATTTATTTAAAAAAAATGCACGCTCTAATTATCGCATTGTTGAATCAATGTTTATTGTGATATTTGATGTATTCAATTTCATATACATAATATACGTACAATGTAGATATTAATTGTGATTGATTAAAATGACGTAGGAATGGTGTTTTGAATAATTGTTACTATTGGAGTGGCAATGATTATCATTATCAAACGATTATAGATCATTGTCATTCGAGTCTTTGGAAATGATACTTTAAAACTCTCCAATAATTTCTCCGTGATTCAGTATCAATCGGATGACTTGTCCAAAGTGTGATTCAACAGTGACTTGTGTGCGTCTAAAGTGTGTGATTCAACGAAACGACGAGTAGAAGAAAGAAGAAAGAACGAAAAACGGTGTGAAAGTGTGGAACAAATAACGGCAAGCGCAGGTTATCGAAACGTTATTTACATCCTTGCTGGATGTAAAGTCGAAATCGGTTGATTATATATACGTGTGATCTGAACGTAATTTACCAGAAGTTTACCAGAGCGTGAGCGCAACTCGCTAATAGACATGACCCGGGCAATTCATTACGCGGCACGGCTGTTTTAAAAAGGGAGAAGAAAGGGAGAGACTCGCGGAGAGAAGACCTGGTGGCTAAAGGACTGAAAATAGCCGGTCTCCCGATCAAACGAAAGGCGTCTTAGTCGCGCCGGCGTCTAAAAACTGCCGAAGGGCACACGCGATCGAAGGAATTCAGCTGTCAGGCTATAAATCGGTCAGGTTTGCTTTGTATTCTGGAAATTTATTTGGGCATTGCTTGCTTTATATTCACGAATAGTCTTCCACCAATTTTCGTTTTCGTTTTCGTTTTTTTTTTTTTCCAAACGCGTACGCGGCCAAGAGTGCTCGACTTTCTCCCACTGGGCACTTCTCTCATTGACATTCATCACGCTATTTTGGAATGACTCTCATATCCAGAATCTGCTCCCAACCGAAGTTCAATCGTTAATTAAATTCATCGTCGGACTTTGGATTTTTGTGTATTTATGGGAAAATTTAAAGATGTTAATTTAATGTAGTGCGTCTCTCTTTCAAATCTCGTTTCAAATTTCGTTTCTTCATGCAGTCGCGTCGCGTGTAAAAAACTGTACAAATTGTTGCGATAGAAATCCATTCTTTCTCTTCAAATCTTCGATCGTGAATTTTCTTTCTAAAAATATTAACAAAAGTTGGTATGTCAAGCGATTTATTTCTCAAAACGATACGAAGAAACGCATATTCGAAAAACTGGCGAGACATATCGGTACGAAGTAATCGGTTGCTCTCGGCTGGACGTAACGAATTGGCGCGGCTATCGTTTCATATAATTAACAGACTGGCTGTTATAATTACTCTGTCTGTGGCCAGGATGCATCTCGTTGAAGAAAACGCGGGGCGGATACGCGTGACGCGAGGTTGACCCCTTTTAAAAAAGATCACCCTCGCATCTGTTGCTGAGCGCAACAGATCCTCCGACTGGACGAAGAGGTTATGCCAAGTGAGAGAAAGAGGCGAATATTCGTCGGCGAACGAACGCGATTCTCCTTTTTATATATATATATATATATATCTTCTTTTCCCTACCGGAATGACTCGTCGCTATTGATGGCCGTTCGATTCGCTGTCTCGTGAATTTTCAAGCGGACATCCCCCGGGACTGGTTTGGTGGAATTAGAAAAAAAGGTGAAAGGGATCGATGAGCCGCGAAACGCGACGAAATACTCAAAAATCGATCAGTTGAGAAACCACAGGGAACGTCGAGAAAGAGGAATGATTTTATTATTCGTTGGGTGATTCTCGTCTTTTGTTTAATTCTTGGCGAGAATTTGCGAGAGAATACTTTCTGAAATGATCTGTACATTTGGATTTTTACATCGTTGATTCATCGTTGGATGTATAAATAGTGCCATTAACAGGGCAGAAAAATAGTTAATTAGCATGGATTGATCTCCCTTGTGGGATGTCTAGCAAATTTATTTTTGTTATCTCAGCCAATCTGGCAAGTCTATCTACCAAGAATGTCCCAGTTTTCTGAAAGGATCTGTACATTTGAATCGCATCATTGATTCACCACGACGGACCAATATCCAGTCGATGCCATTC